TTAGACGACCGGAGGTCGAATCGGAGACAGCGTCATGATTCATGAAATCTCATTCTAACCAATAATGGGGCTTGCTCATTATAAATACATTGTGATTTAGTTTCGGTATCAGACTAACTTTTCTTATGATTTTGCTTGCAGAGCATACAGGCTGTCAGTTTATCGCCAGTTCACCCTACGGGCACCAGGGAGAATTGGACGTGGTGTACGGCGTCTCATCCCTGTGTGTGTCGTCTCTCCCGTAAGGTGCGGATACCCAGAAGCAAAGGCATTTACGTAGGGTTTGAGTTTGAATTAAACCAGTTCATTTAGGAAATCTAACCTGCTGTCATTTTTTTCAAGACATAGGCCAAATGCCTGCGCCTTACGTAAAAATAGTATTAGTTAGCTTATCCACTATAACAACAGGTTCAAGCGTAACTAGATAAACTTGCTTTGAAGATAAAACTACTTTCAACGTGCACTAACCCCTTGTCCCTGTTGCTAGAGTAGTGACTTAGACTAGCTTTGGCTGCCACCTATTGGAAAGGAATGGTAACTACACTGGGCAGCTAGTTGGTCAAAGGATACTTTGATAATATATGCCATTTAGCAGACGCCTTTATGGCAGGTAGGGGTGAGGAGGATGGTTGGCAGGTAGGGGTGAGGAGGATGGTTGGCAGGTAGGGGGAAGGAGGATGGTTGGCAGGTAGGGGGAAAGAGGATGGTTGGCAGGTAGGGGGAAGAAGGATGGTTGGCAGGTAGGGGTGAGGAGGATGGTTGGCAGGTAGGGGTAAGAAAGATGGTTGGCAGGTAGGGGTGAGGAGGATGGTTGGCAGGTAGGGAGAAGGAGAATGGTTGGCAGGTAGGGGCGAGGAGGCTGGTTGTCAGGTAGGGGCGAGGAGGATGGTTGGCAGGTAGGGGCGAGGAGGTTGGTTGGCAGGTAGGGGGAAGGAGGATGGTTGGCAGGTAGGGGTAAGGACGATGGTTAGCAGGTAGGGGCGAGGAGGACGGTTGGCAAGTAGGGGGAAGGACGATGGTTGGCAGGTAGGGGGAAGGAGGATGGTTGGCAGTAGGGGGAAGAAGAATGATTGGCAGGTATGGGGAAGGAGGATGGTTGGCAGGTAGGGGGAAGGAGGATGGTTGGCAGGTAGGGGGAAGGAGGATGGTTGGCAGGTAGGGGCGAGGAGGTGGGTGGCAGGTAGGGGCGAGGAGGTGGGTGGCAGGTAGGGGGAAGGAGGATGGTTGGCAGGTAGGGGCGAGGAGGTGGGTGGCAGGTAGGGGCGAGGAGGTGGTTGGCAGGTAGGGGGAAGGAGGATGGTTGGCAGGTAGGGGAGAGGAGGATGGTTTGCAGGTAGGGCGAGGAGGTGGGTGGCAGGTAGCGGGAAGGAGGATGGTGGGCAGGTAGGGGCGAGGAGGATGGTTGGCAGGTAGTGGGAAGGAGGATGGTTGGCAGGTAGGGAAAGGAGGATGGTTGGCAGGTAGGGGGAAGGAGGATGGTTGGCAGGTAGGGGGAAGGAGGATGGTTGGCAGGTAGGGGCGAGGAGGTGGGTGGCAGGTAGGGGCGAGGAGGGTGGGTGGCAGGTAGGGGCAAGGAGGATGGTTGGCCGGTAGGGGGAAGGAGGATGGTTGGCAGGTAGGGGGAAGGAGGATGGTTGGCAGGTAGGGGGAAGGAGGATGGTTGGCAGGTAGGGGGAAGGAGGATGGTTGGCAGATAGGGGGAAGGAGGATGGTTGGCAGATAGGGGCGAGGAGGGTGGTTGGCAGGTAGGGGCGAGGAGGAAGGGTTGGCAGGTAGGGGGAAGGAGGATGGGTGGCAGGTAGGGTGAGGAGGATGGTTGGCAGGTAGGGGGAAGGAGGATGGTTGGCAGGGAGGGGGAAGGAGGGTGGTTGGCAGGTAGGGACGAGGAGGATGGTTGGCCGGTAGGGGGAAGGAGGATGGTTGGCAGGCAGGGGCGAGGAGGATGGTTGGCAGGCAGGGGGAAGGAGGATGGTTGGCAGGTAGGGGGAAGAAGGATGGTTGGCAGATAGGGGCGAGGAGGATGGTTGGCAGGTAGGGGGAAGGAGGATGGTTGGCAGGTAGGGGAAGGAGGATGGTTGGCAGGTAGGGGCGAGGAGGATGGTTGGCAGGTAGGGGGAAGGAGGATGGTTGGCAGGTAGGGGGAAGGAGGATGGTTGGCAGGTAGGGGGAAGGAGGATGGTTGGCAGGTAGGGGCGAGGAGGATGGTTGGCAGGTAGGGGGAAGGAGGATGGTTGGCAGGTAGGGGAAGGAGGATGGTTGGCAGGTAGGGGCGAGGAGGATGGTTGGCAGGTAGGGGGAAGGAGGATGGTTGGCAGGTAGGGGGCGAGGAGGATGGTTGGCAGGTAGGGGGGAAGGAGGATGGTTGGCAGGTAGGGGGAAGGAGGATGGTTTGGCAGGTAGGGGGAAGAAGGATGGTTGGCAGGTAGGGGCGAGGAGGATGGTTGGCAGGTAGGGGGAAGGAGGATGGTTGGCAGGTAGGGGAAGGAGGATGGTTGGCAGGTAGGGGCGAGGAGGATGGTTGGCAGGTAGGGGGAAGGAGGATGGTTGGCAGGTAGGGGAAGGAGGATGGTAGGGGCATTACGTGACTTGCCATCTTGCTTCCTCTATGGAATGTCACGAGGGCAGGCTTGTTTTACTAGGTTTTACTCACACACACACACACACACACACACACACACACACACACACACACACTGTGTCTGCAGCAACATGTTTCAGTCAGTCAGACACTGAGCACATGCTCAGGTGAGTCCTCAACCCTCATGTGAAGGAGCAAGACCCTGTGACAAACTCCGCAGATTTTATTGACCAAAATCAGATTTTGAGGAAAGAAAGTCCTTTTATTTGACCACATTTGTTTTTGTGATGGCATCACCTGCTTTGCAGTTATATTCACCAGACTTACAGTATATTAGGGTTATAACCAGTGTGTAGATATCTTTGTAAGTTAGCGATGCTAAAGTTTTAACATGTAGCTCAAATTGAAGCTAGCTAATGGCTGCAATGGTCAGGGTTAGCTGTAACAACATGCCCAACATTCACTCACACACACACACACACCACTCTCTCACACACACACACACACACCACTCACACACACACACACACACACACACACACACACACACACACACACACACACACACACACACACCACCGCTCTGACTCTTTCAAACTCACTCACTCGCACACACATACATACACACATCTATTTGATTTGGAATTTTAGGACCCCTTTAGGTATAAAAAATATATTAAAAAGGATTTGATGAAACATTGGCCTTACTGCTATTAACCCATAGAAACACATTGAATAACAGATTCATACATGGAACAACAGATAGTCAAAAAATAAACCTAAAGGAAGTTTGATTTAGAGTGCCTGTCCTATATCTGAGAGATATAGGACAGGCAGGATAGGTCTCCTGAGTGGCGCAGTGGTCTAAGGCACTGCATCGCAGTGCTAACTGTGCCACTAGAGATCCTGGTTCGAACCCAGGCTCTGTCGCAGCTCATGTGTGGCGCACAATTGGCCCAGCGTCGTCCAGGGTAGGGGAGGGAATGGCCGGCAGGGATGTAGCTCAGTTGATAGAGCATGGCGTTTGCAACGCCAGGGTTGTGGGTTCGATTCCCATGGGGGGCCAGTATGAAAAAATAAATAATATTAATAATTTGGTATTCACTAACTGTAAGTCGCTCTGGATAAGAGCGTCTGCTAAATGACTAAAATTTAAATGTAAATGTATATAAGAAAGATCAGGATTCATTTAAAAAATGTAATTGACCCGTATTTTTTTTAAATGGGGGGCACTAATCTACTTCCATTCATTTTTTAAACTGGGACTGGGCTGCCTTCAGGTGAGTCTTGTAGAGCAAAACGTGTTCGTTAGAGTCTCATCTTTCCAACGAGTGGTCATACTAGTTTGTAGACCAGACCGTTAGGACGCTACAGACGTTTTCGTGAAAATACCGATTTTCGGGATGTCTCATGGTCTGACAAACACCGCTGTAGCTCCGTCACCTTCCACCGCAGATGCCGCAGGCCGCCATTGGCGAATGCCCTGGATTGAGATGCAGCCCAAAATGATTTAGATTTTTCGCAGGGGCGCGGTCATCAACTATATGGGGTTAATGGAGCGTAAAAATAATCAACATTTTATGATTTTTATTATTATTATTGTATTATTTCTGCCACACAAAATGTTAAATAAGGCAATGTTGTTCTCCTGTTCTCATGCCTTTTCTTCAAACTGTTGCAAGCCCTGTTACAACTAACGTTTTATTTTAGTCCTTATATTTGAGACAAAGTCGTACCTTGTCTGTGTGATTTAGAGAGATAATACCAACTCTTAGCAGACAGATTAAGTTGTTCGTATCAAATTTTGAATGTACAATCTCTGAAAAATGGTGTGTGTGGGGGGGGGGGGGGGCGCGGGGCGGATATTTAAATGTTTCAAAAAACAAAAATGTATTTGTCTTTTATTTTATTTGGTTTTAACAGGGGGAGCTGCAGCACCCTCAGCACCCGTACTTCCCGTGGCTCTGCTTTCTACAGAAGGCAATATAACACCGTTCTCTCCTCTCCCACCCCAGTGTGTCTGTGGCTGGTTGTTGCCTTCTTGGCAAAGGATCAAGAAGTGATTCAATAGAGAAGGGGGCGCAGAGGACTGGCGTCAGAGCAATGCGCCAGAAGAGGACTGCCGTCGAAGAATCAAGGAAATGGAATATTGAAGCTGTAACCACATGTTCTGCCTCGGCGGTGACGTCGCTGCTCTACCGCACTGGGCTGAGTGGAGACAGTAGTAGGTTAGGCAGTGAGAGAGACGGATCACACGGACTGGGCTGAGTGGAGACAGTAGTAGGTTAGGCAGTGAGAGAGACGGATCACACGGACGACCTAGTAAAGAACATTCTACACTGCTGTCATGAAGCACTGGTTGTAACTTCATTGTTTGTCGCTGTAGTCCGGAGACAGACAGGCAGGCAGAGGAGAAGAGTCGGAGAAACGGAAGGAACTAACCGTTTCTAGTTTCTGAAAACGTCTTGGATAGATTCTAACATAGAGACGTGGATTAGAGAGAGATAGATTTAAGGTCCGTTTTTCGGTGAAAGGGAAGCTATGTCGTCCGCCACGGTAGCTGCCTCTCGTAGGCAGTCGTGTTATTTATGCGACCTGCCCCGCATGCCCTGGGCTATGATCTGGGATTTTACCCAACCCATCTGCAGGGGATGTGTTAACTACGAAGGAGCGGACCGGATCGAGTTTGTGATTGAGACAGCCCGGCAGCTGAAGCGGGCTCACGGCTTCCAGGAGGGGAGGTCTCTGGGGCCGGGGAAACAGCAGCTATCGGGGAAGGAGATCCAGTCTAACCACCACGGGTCGGGAGGAGACTCCGGATCCCGGCCGCCCCAGCCACTGGACCGCTACCCCCTCTCCTCCTTGGACCGTCCGCTGCGGCTGGGACCAGAGTACCAGTCTGGGAGACAGGCTAACGGCATTCCGGTACCTAATGGATTTCCTAAACCGGACGATCCACCCGAGCTCAACCGGCAGAGCCCCAACCCGCGCAGGAATAACACGGTTCCTCCTAATCTAGTTCCTCTGGTGAACGGGAACGTGTCCTCGATACATGCAGTTAACGGCAGACCTTTGCGACCGATGGCGATGGGGCACCCGGGGTCCGGTTTGATGGCAGGTAGCCCCAATGAGCACGGCGGCGTTAAACGGCTAGTCTCGGTCTCCAGCAGCGATCAGCAGGAGAAGGAGAAGCAGCACATACCTGACAGCCTGACTCCGGAGATAGAGAACCACAAAGCCCGGGCAGATGAGTGGATGAATAAGGAGAAAACTGTCAGGGACTTGATGGTTCTCCATGCTTTCGACAGCCGGTTCAAGAAGGATCATGCCGCCATGCATCAGAGGGTGATGGGCTATGAGCAACAACAGAACGCCGCTGCTTCTAAATCAGGTCGGTACTGACTGGCTGGCTGGCTGGATGGATGGATGGATGGATGGATGGATGGATGGATGGATGGGGTTGTTTTTTCCATCTGAATGGAGCAGTACAGTAGCCTAGCCTGCATATGGAGATTATTCTGCATATTTACCGTTTGCTACATAGCCTAAAATGCATAATATGTCATGCATAATATGCATATGGAGATTATTTCACACGTCAACTCTTTGCTAGGCATACCATTCAAATAAAATAGATTTGTCAGATTAGCATTTTTTTTCTCAACAATAGCAAATTATGTAGTAATAAGGACATAATAATCAAAAAAGGGAGTTTTAAGCATGATTTGTGGGAGTGTTTGTGTCATGACAAAAATGCTAATCTGATGTAAATCTATTTGGTTTGAAGTGCAGAAGTGGTAGCAAAGGGTTTAGCGATTTAAACAAAGTGTTTAGCGATTTAGTGAAATAATGTCCACTTTTAAGCAGGACTTGTGGGTATGTTTGTGTCATGAGAAAAATAATGCAAATCTGACAAATCATTTCCTGTTTGTTTTTATTATTTTGTATTGTGCTTTTTTCTTCTCAGTGAATTATTAATAATCTCCTGTCCATGTTGTGGCTCTCTAACTCAGCCTTCTTCATGATTAACCCTTTCCTTCCTCCAGACAGGGGAAAACACCCGCGGAATATGAAGAGGAAAGCATCGCCAGAACCGGAGGGAGAGAGAGAGGGAACCGCCTCCAAGCATAACGGAGAGGACCGGCAGCGGTGGTTACCAGGTCCACCGTCTGACTGTGACGGACATAAAATGGCCCTGGGACCGCCACCAAGCATCTCCTCCACCCCCCCCACAATATCCCCCCACTCACGCACCACCCCACCGGAAGCTGGGCAGAACGGCCAGTCCCCCATGGCGGCGCTGATCCTCGCGGCAGACAACGCCGGTGGTGGCGGGAACAGCTCGCCCAAAGACGGGAACCAGGTCCACTCCACCACGCGCCGTAACAGCAGCAGCCCTCTCTCGCCCTCCTCCGTGAACCAGAACCGGCGTCTCGCGCAGGGGAGGGAGGCATCCGGTGGTGTGGGGACACTTCACGCGCCAGGGGGAGGAATGATGGACCAAGGGCATCAAAGCATTCCGGACTCGTCGGTACCCGGGAGCACACCTCTCTGCTGCACGCTGTGTCGCGAGAGGTTAGAGGACACACACTTCGTTCAGTGTCCGTCGGTGCCCTCGCACAAGTTCTGCTTCCCGTGCTCGCGGGAGAGCATCAAACAGCAAGGGGCCACCGGGGAGGTGTACTGTCCCAGCGGGGAGAAGTGCCCGTTGGTGGGCTCTAACGTACCGTGGGCTTTCATGCAAGGAGAAATCGCTACCATCCTTGACGTGAAAGTTAAAAAGGAGAGGGATCCTTGAGATGTAATTTTCTAAATATTTTTTTTGGGGAAAATGACAAAGTAAGAGTGTATAAATATTAAAATGAAGTAGCACATACCATCCAAACAAACTAACCAACCAACGGACTTTGTACATATTTTATACGAACCAAGGGGACTACTGTGGGCCATACTTTGTAAACAAGGCTGTATAATATTGAGATTTTCTGAAAACATTGTGTTTCTATATTTTTGAAGATAAAGGTATGTAATCATAATAGAACTGGGCTCTCTCTGCCCCTATTTGTTGATGTAGGCCTACTTCTAGTGCAGCGTCCGAATGGCACCCTGTTACCTACTGTTTATAGTTCACTACTTTTGAGCAGGGCCCATTGGGAAACCCACAGGGCTCTGGTCAAAAGTAGTCCACTACATAGGGAACAGGGAGCCATTCGGGACGCTGCCTCTGTCTGGTTGGCTGTTCCTGTTCAAAAGGTAGAATGTGACTGATGATAACGCCCCTCTCCATGAGCACTTGGCAACCAACTGAAATGCTTTTAGCTGTAACTTGTATGCACTTGTTTCAAAATAATTGCCAAATACAATGTGTGATCTTGTATGAAGAAGTAAGTGTCTGAGGTCTATCTTTAAATGATAACGTTAAGAAAGAGGGATAAGGAACCAAATGAATACAGAGAATGAAAAGGATGTTTGGGTTATAGAATTAGCAGTTAACTGAAGGCTGGAATGATGCACTAGTCTGGTCTGTCAGTGCACACTGCTGCCGAAATGTTTTCTGTATTCTTCAGAAGGACAAACTAAGTTCAGATTTGTATTTGTATTTATTATGGATCCCCATTACTTTTCCTGGGGTCCTGAAAAATGAAGGTAGTTATACATTTTAAAAACATTAAAATACATTCACAACAGATTTCACAACATATTAACTGTGTGCCCTCAGGCCTCTACTCTACTACCACATATCTATAACACAAAATCCATGTGTACGTGTGTGTATAGTGCGTATGGTATCATGTGTTTGTATGCATGTATCTATGTTTGTGTTGCTTCACAGTCCTCGCTGTTCCATAAGCTGTATTTTTATCTGTTTTTTAAATCTGATTCTACTACTTGCATCAGTTACCTGATGTGGAATAGAGTTCCATGTAGTCATGGCTCTATGTAGTACTGTGCACCTCTCATAGTCTGTTCTGGACTTGGGGACTGTGAAGAGACCTCTGGTGGCATGTCTTGTGGGGTATGCATGGGTGTCTGAGCTGTGTGCTAGTCGTTTAAACAGACAGCTTGGTGCTTTCAACATGTCAATACCTCTCATAAATACAAGTAGTGATGAAGTCAATATCTCCTCTACTTTGAGCCTGGAGAGATTGACCTGTATATTATTAATGTTAGCTCTCTGTGTACATCCAAGGGCCAGCCGTGCTGCCCTGTTCTGAGCCAATTGCAATTGTCCTAAGTCCCTCTGTGTGGCGCCTGACCACACGACTGAACAGTAGTCCATTTGCGAAAAAACTAGGGCCTGTAGGACCTGCCTTGTTGATAGTGTTGTTAAGAAGGTAGAGCAGCGCTTTATTATGGACGGACTTCTCCCCATCTTAGCTACTGTTGTATCAATATGTTTTGACCATGACAGTTTACAATCCAGGGTTACTCCAAGCAGTTTAGTCTCCTCAACTTGCTCAATTTCCACATTATTCATTACGAAATTTAGTTGAGGTTTAGGGTTTAGTGAATGATTTGTCCCAAATACAATGCTTTTAGTTTTGGAAATATTTAGGACTAACTTATTCCTTGCCACCCATTCTGAAACTAACTGCAGCTCTTTGTTAAGTGTTGCAGTCATTTCAGTCGCTGTAGTAGCTGACGTGTATAGTGTTGAGTCATCCGCATACATAGACACACTGGCTTTACTCAAAGTGTTGAGTGACAAGTAGACATCACATCTCTCTGATATCCTGTTCCAACTACAGTAGACAGCTCTCTATATAGGGAACAGGGTGATGAACTATATAGGGAACAGGGTGGTGAACTATATAGGGAACAGGGTGATGGACTATATAGGGAACAGGGTGATGGACTATATAGGGAACAGGGTGATGGACTATATAGGGAACAGGGTGATGGACTATATAGGGAACAGGGTGATGACTATATAGGGAACAGGGTATGGATCTATATAGGGGAACAGAGGTTGATGGACTATAAGGGAACAGGGTGATGGACTATATAGGGAACAGGGTGATGGACTATATAGGGAACAGGGTGATGGACTATAATGGAAAACAGGGTGATGGACTATATAGGGAACAGGTGATGGACTATATAGGGAACAGGGTGATGGACTATATAGGGAACAGGGTGTTTTGGACTAATAGGGAACAGGGGGATGGACTATATAGGGAACAGGGTGATGAAATACATAGGGGAAAAGGGTGATGGACTATTAGGGAATAGGTAAAGGACTATTAGGGAACAGGGTGATGGACTATATAGGGAAAAGGTGATGGACTATATAGGGAACAGTGGTGATGGAATATATAGGGAACAGGGGGGTGAACTATATGGGAAAGGGTTATGACTATATAGGACAAGGGGGATGAACTATATAGGGAACAGGTGAGGGCTATATGGAACATGGTGATGGACTATCTAGGGAACAGGGTTGACTATATAGGGAACAGGGTGATGGACTATATAGGGAACAGGGTGATGGACATATAGGGAACAGGTGATGGGCTATATAGGGAACCGGGTGATGGACTATATAGGGAACAGGGTGATGGATATATAGGGACAGGGTGGGTGGACTATATAGGGCAGGGATGGACTATTAGGGAACAGGGTGTGAATATAGGGAACGGTGTGACTATATAGGGAACAGGGTGATGGACTATATAGGAACAGGGTGATGGACTATATATGGAACCAGGGTGATGGACTATATAGGAACAGGGTGATGGACTTATAGGGAACAGGTGATGGACTATATAGGGAACAGGGTGATGGACTTTATATATGGTCCTCTGTAGCTCAGCTGGTAGAGCACAGCGCTTGTAACGCCAGGTAGTGGGTTCGATCCCCGGGACCACCCATACACAAAAAAAATGTATGCACGCATGACTGTATGTCGCTTTGGATAAAAGCGTCTGCTAAATGGCATATTATTATTATTATTATTATTATATAGGGAACAGGGTGATGGACTATATAGGGAACATGGTGATGGACTATATAGGGAACAGGGTGATGGACTATATAGGGAACAGGGTGATGGACTATATAGGGAACAGGGTGATGGAATATATAGGGAACATGGGTGTTGAACTCTATATGGGAACAGGGGTGATGAACTATATAGGGAACAAGTGATGGACTATATAGGGGAACAGGGGTGATGACTATATAGGGAACAGTGTGATGGACTATATAGGGACAGGGTGATGGACTATAAGGGAACAGGACTATATAGGGAACAGGGTGATGGACTATATAGGGAACAGGGTGATGGACTATATAGGGAACAGGGTGATGGACTACATAGGGAACAGGGTGATGAACTATATAGTAGGGGTGTAACGATTCGTTTTAACAACGATTCGATTTGTATCACGATTCGTGGTTGTCGATACGATTCAAGGACGATATTGTTATTTAGAACGATACGACCAAACGTCAGTGACTTGAAATCGATTTCAGTACTTTACCAAAATTCACCATGTATGAAATAATCCTTACTGGACAGTGCAGTGAATTTCCTAATTCTTTTTGTAGGCCGCATTGTCTGAAATTTCTCGCTCGTCGGCTCTCCTCTTGTCCGCCATGCATGTTTGTTTCTTGTGCTTTGGTGCTGCTGGCGGGGCGATGAAGTCACGGATAGCAGACGATCGGTAATGTTTAAAAAGCCTTTATCAAAAAGTGCTAGAAAAATCCTAAAAATCTGACGGCTTAAATCCATGGTTATTTCTTTCGATACAATCGATTTATTCATTTTAAAACGAGTTAGATTGATAATTGTCCAAAGGCCAACCGCCGACACAGATCGATGTGTTGGATCATAGGATATAATCGATCACTTAGTGATGGATCTTTAAACCCCACTATAGGGAAGGGTGAGGCTATATGGGAAAGGTGATGGATATTAGGGAACAGGTGATGACTTAAGGAACGGTGATGACTAATGGGAACGGTATGGACTATTAGGAAACAGGGTTGGATATATAGGAACAGGTGATGGACTATATAGGACGGTATGACTATATAGGAACAGGTGATGGACTAATGGGGAAACAGGGTGATGGACTATTAGGAACAGGGTGATGGACTATATAGGACAGGGTGATGGCTAATGGGGAAAGGTGATGGACTATATGGGAACAGGGATGACAATAGGAACAGGTGATGATAATAGGAAGGTGATGGACTAATAGGACGGTGATGGACTATTAGGGAACGGTGATGAACTATTAGGAAAGGTGATGGACTATAGGAACAGGTGTAATATATAGGAACGGTGATCTATAAGGACAGGTGAGAACTATTAGGGAAGGGTGATGAACTATATGGAAACAGGGTATGAATATATGGGACAGGGATGGACTATAGGAAGAGGTGATGCATATAGGACAGGGAGACTAATGGAACAGGGTAGACATATAGGAACAGGTGATGGACATATGGGAACGGTGAGGACTATATAGGGAACAGGGTGATGGACTATTGGAACAGGGAGGCTATATAAACAGGGTGATGGATATATAGGGACAGGGAGACTATTAGGAACACGTGTGGACTTATAGGAACGGGTGATGGACTATTGGGAAAGGTGATGACTATATAGGAAACAGGGTGAGGACTATAAGGAACAGGTGATGTTATATTAGGGAAGGTGATGGACAAAGGAACAGGTGATGACTATATAGGAAGGTGATGACTATATAGGGAACAGGGTGAGGACATTAGGGAACAGGGTGTGAACTATAAGGGACAGGGTATGATATATGGGAACGGTGATAAATTATGGGAACAGGGTGGAATATTGGAACAGGTGATGGACTATATAGGAACGGGTGATGGACTTAGGGAACAGGGGATGGACTATAAGGAACAGGTGATGACTTATAGGAACAGGTGATGGACTATATGGCAGGGTGATGGACTATATAGGAACAGGTGTGACTATAAGGAACGGGTGATGACATTAGGAACAGGTGTGACTATATAGGAAACGGGGAGGGACTAATAGGGAACAGGTGTGACTATAGGGACAGGGTGAGAACTATTGGGACAGGGTGATGATATATAGGAAACAAGGTGAGGACTATAAGGAACAGGGTGATGGACTAATAGGGACAGGTGATGGACTATATAGGGAACAGGGTGATGAACTACATAGGGAACAGGGTGATGGACTATATAGGGAACAGGGTGATGGACTATATAGGGAACAGGGTGATGGACTATATAGGGAACAGGGTGATGGACTATATAGGGAACAGGGTGATGGACTATATAGGGAACAGGGTGATGGACTATATAGGGAACAGGGTGATGGACTATATAGGGAACAGGGTGATGGACTATATAGGGAACAGGGTGATGGGACTATATAGGGAACAGGGTGATGGACTATATAGGGAACAGGGTGATGGACTATATAGGGAACAGGGTGATGGACTATATAGGGAACAGGGTGATGGATTATATATAGGGAACAGGGTGATGGACTATATAGGGAACAGGGTGATGGACTATATAGGGAACAGGGTGATGAACTATATAGGGAACAGGGTGATGGACTATATAGGGAACAGGGTGATGAACTATATAGGGAACAGGGTGATGAACTATATAGGGAACAGGGTGATGAACTATATAGGGAACAGGGTGATGAACTATATAGGGAACAGGGTGATGGACTATATAGGGAACAGGGTGATGGACTATATAGGGAACAGGGTGATGGACTATATAGGGAACAGGGTGATGGACTATAGGGAACAGGGTGATGGACTATATAGGGAACAGGGTGATGGACTATATAGGGAACAGGGTGATGGAACTATATAGGGAACAGGGTGATGGACTATATAGGGAACAGGGTGATGGACTATATAGGGAACAGGGTGATGGACTATATAGGGAACAGGGTGATGGACTATATAGGGAACAGGGTGATGGACTATATAGGGAACAGGGTGATGGACTATATAGGGAACAGGGTGATGGACTATATAGGGAACAGGGTGATGGATTATATATAGGGAACAGGGTGATGGACTATATAGGGAACAGGGTGTGATGGAACTATATAGGGAACAGGGTGATGAACTTATGGAACAGGGTGATGGACTATATAGGGAACAGGGTGATGAACTATATAGGGAACAGGGTGATTAAAACTATATAGGGAACCAGGGTGATGAACTATATAGGGAACAGGGGTGATGAACTATATAGGGAACAGGGGTGATGAACTATATAGGGAACAGGGTGATGGACTATATAGGGAAACAGGGTGATGGGACTATATAGGGAACAGGGGTGATGGGACTATATAGGGAACAGGGTGATGGACTAATAGGGACAGGTGATGGACTATATAGGGACAGGGTGATGGACTATATAGGGAACAGGGTGATGGACTATATAGGGAACAGGGTGATGGACTATATAGGGAACAGGGTGAGGACTATATAGGGAACAGGGTGAGTGGACTATATATAGGGAACAGGGTGGTTATGGACATATATGGGAACAGGGTGATGAACTATATAGGGAACAGGGTGATGGACTATATAGGGAACAGGGTGATGGACTATATAGGGAACAGGGTGATGGACTATATAGGGAACAGGGTGATGGACTATATAGGGAACAGGGTGATGGACTATATAGGGAACAGGGTAATGGACTATACAGGGAACAGGGTGCCATTTGGGATAAAGCCCTGTACAGTATATGGAGGAAGCACAGAAGTTGTTTAGTCAGAGAAGAGAGGAGGGGGGGGGGGGGGGGGGGGGGGGGGGGGGGTGGAGTTGCTCAATAAGTAGCAACCTATTCTCCAAATCAGCCCTCTGGGTATTTTGTGACCACATGCATGTGTGAGCTTAAACAGTATAGCCTGTTGACACCATGTCAGGTACTAAAGCGATAACATGGGGACTGAATGACTCAGACAAACAGACTGAGAGATCGGCCTTAAGTCAGAAATGATTGCACTGAAATTAATTTTCAACAATTTGGTTACATTTTGTTTAGAAAAGTAAACGACTGTTTTGACAGTATTGTTGAACACATTCCTAGTTGCCTAAATCATAAAATTACGGAATTCTATAAAAAATATATATTCACGAAAGCACATCTATTTTCTGACAATTGAGTGATTAACTTGTTTATCATGATTTTATTTATAATTATTTCCCACGTGTTACCTATGGTGGTTACCAATGGTGGTTACCTATGGTGGTTACCTATGGTGGTTACCTATGGTGGTTACCAATGGTGGTTACCAATGGTGGTTACCAATGGTGGTTACCAATGGTGTTTACCTATGGTGGTTACCTATGGTGGTTACCAATGGTGGTTACCTATGGTGGTTACCAATGGTGGTTACCTATGGTGGTTACCTATGGTGGTTACCTATG